CTCCTGGTCATAAACTATGTAAAATTTCATTGAACTATATCAAATGCTACAAAACGCACCAAACGCTCACAGACGGCCAAGACACTAACAACCGCCTATAAAAACACTACTGACCAGACTAGCTCCTGGTCGTTAACTATGTTAAATTCCATTTAACTATATTTAACTTCGTTATTATACAGCCTTGAATCAATTTGTTTAATTCGTTGAAGATCGTGTTCAACTCCATGAATGTTCACCTGCATCTTGTCTAGCTCCATGAAATCATTGTGAAGAGATACACGAGAAATTTATAACAACTAGTCACCTTCCCACTTCAGTTTTGACTCGGGCACAGTGTTGAATTTGAAAAGCCAGTGAGAGCAAATTTTTTCATTTGGGTGAATGAAAAATAGCTCGAGGAACTCTGAAAGTATTTTGATGACTTACTTATCCATTTCTTTTTAATGATATGATAGTTTTCATTTTGTGCGGTGGCGCCCAAGTATGTTATCACTAGCAACCTTGAATGTTTTGCCAAAAACAGAGGTTTACCTGGATTTTAGCATCAAAAATGCTGGCTTCGTTTTTGCGGTAGAAATATGCGGCTTCTTTTGTTTACAATTTCTACAGCTTTAATATATCATTGCTGAGTTAAGTTCTGTACAGAGAAACTGGAAAATGCTCACAGAAAATTGCTAAAATTTTAAGAAATAACCACAGCGTTTTCGTGCCCAATGCGGCTATTTTTAATCCTGGAAAGAAATTTGATCGTGGCAGTTTTTGATCCCGTGCTAGGCAACCACTTCTAAGCCGTGAGCGCAAGTCACGCAATCAACAAAACAACACTATAAATTGTAATTTTCGTCAAACTTCATCTAAACACTTGCATTGATTACCCTTGGGCCTAAAATCTACCTTTTCTTCTCAAAATTGTTATCAAAAATTTAGTTGGCAAACGGCTTGCCTGGGTCCTTGCCCATGGGACAAGTAAGGAGAGAAAGTTACTTGCCCGAAGGGAAAATCTACTTGTCCCAGACGACTGTATGGAGGTTTTTTCGAACCCTGGGAAAGATTAAAATAACAGGTCTGAGTGGCAGTATTAGTTGGTCTAAAATTGTAAAGGATTATACAGGTTGGGATTTCAGAATGTGGCTAACAGGGTGGCCAGATTAACAGGGTTTTCTTAAAAGAAAATGTGAGGTTGTTCCACCAGGACAAAAAAGACTGGCTGTAATAACAAGGTGACTGTAAGGCTGGGTTGCTCTGTATTTGAAAAAGGTCAAGTTTGTATAGTCTAAACTGCTGTGTAACCTTTACAGTGCTGTGAACGTCAGTGAGACTCCAGCTGTTGCCACTGTGGAGAAGAAAGAGTATGTTTATGAAACAAAGGAAGAAGCAAAACAAGCTTTCAAGGAACTCCTCAGAGAAAAGGCATGTTAATAAATATGTTCTTTTTGTTGACAGAGATTTTGTTTTATGTATA